GGGGGAGGAACGCATATGAAATTAAGCACTTATTTTGTCACCCTAACAAGTTATTTATAATACTAATGTTTTGTGGGATGAACTTCTGGGATATCAGACCTGACGGCCATGAGAAAAAAAACGTAAAGATATAGGCTAGTGAAGGACATGTAAGGAAAAGACATCCTGTCCCTGTCCTCTCTCCCTCCCTCCTCCTCCCCCTTCCCATGGCTACTTGTGGAAAGGACAGGAAATACACTGTATCTGCTCTGGTTGCAAATAAAGATGGCAAGCTCTCTTCTCCCAGATATTGACTGTTTCTGCTTTATGAATTCATTCTTCATTATTATAAAAGTTTGATCCACGCCTGGCCAAATTCCATGTGTCATAAGTTATTTTGGCTGTAAGTGTCCTTTGAGATACAGCCCAATCCTCTCATTTACAGCTCAAGACACTAAAGCCCATAGAAAATGAGACTTGTCCACCATGAGGCCTGTAGTGAGTGGCAGAGCCAAACCCAGCACCCAGATTTCCTACCTGCTAGTACTGTGATCTTTTCATTAACAGGTTGACTCCCCTCTTACTTATTAGACCTACCAGAATACCGAGGGGACAATAACACAACAATAGCATATTTTTTCATCTGAGGTACTCAAGTAATCTCACAAGTTTGAATGTTAACAGCGATTTTTTTCTCTATAGAAAACTGACAATTCCTTTAAATCAATTCATAACAGAATATAAAAAAATTTATAGATAATCTGGATTATCACACATATGCAAAATCACTGTTTTAATTTATAGTTTAACTTTATAACTCATAATACCTTTTTTTCAAGGACTTATTTACACTTAAAATAATATTGAGATTTACAATGTCATGAGAACTTCACTAAATTTGCCAAAATATTAACAGTGGTTATAATAAAGTGGGATTATGAAGAAATTTACTTTTCACTTTTTCCAAAAATTTCCATATGTGGTAATACTTCTTTTGGAATTTAACAAAAAACAACATTACTTTTAAAAAGAAGACCTTCTGTATTAGTCCATTGCTGTTGCTTATAACAAAATACACAGAACTGGGTAATTTGTAAGAAATAAAATTTATTGCATACAGTTTCTGAGGCTGTGAAGTCCAAAGTCCAATGAACACATCTCGTGAAGGCCTTGGTGGTGGTGACAGTGACCCAGGATTCTCACATGGCAGAAAATGGCAGAGCAGGGAGAGAGATAGTTCCTCATGCACTTTCCTTTTAAAGCCCTCAGAATCATGCCCATGAACACCATTTTTAATCCATTCACTAAGCATGGTCCTCAGATTCTAATCGCCTCTTCAAGGTCCAACCTTTCAAATACCACAGTGGGAATTTAAGCTTCAATGAGGTTGGGGGCATCCAATCTACAGCTCCTTCCCTTACAGTTCTTTTTCCCTAAATGGCTTTAAGGGAGTAAGGACCATGAGTCTCATAATTTCCTCCTATACTGAGTCAGTATCTGAAACTTAGTTTTTGAGCAGTGATCTTCCTCGTGACTTTCCCCCCCACTTCATGCTTGTCTGCTTTACACATTTTCTATATTCAGGGTGAATTTTAAGTAAACATTTTATCATGCATAACACATATACAGAAAAGTTCACAAATGGTAACACCTCAATGAATTTTGTAACACCTCACAAATTCAACACTTCCATGTAACCACCACCCAGATCTTGAAATAAAACATTGCAGGCATCCCAGAAGTTTCCACTTCATGTGCATTCTCAATCACTATAGCAAAACTTTTTGAATTAAAAAAAATTTTTTTGAAAAAATTAATAACTAGAAAGAACATGGCATTTGTAATTAGTCAAACCTAAATTGTATTCCTCACTTCACAATTTTCCAAAATTGGAAATCTGGGGCAAATGGTTTAATTTTTTTCATCCTCAATTCTCTTATTTTTAATATGGGAATAATATTTACCTTATCATTACTGTGATGTTGGGAAAAATAGGAAAATGGTCAGGGCCCCTCAGATGTTCAGAATCTTGCTGAGCATTTGCTGTAAATATCCTCAGGTGTTCCTTGTTACTACTTAATGTAAACTATGCATGGGCACCCAGGTGTCCAGGGTTGTGGACTTAAGTATAAAAGACTAACAGCTCTGATCCGCAGTGATTCTCAGAACTCTCGGAAGAGCCAGTGGGATAGTTGCTCCTAGATCTGAATAAAACCCATTAATTTTTCTATACCCACAGCTCTCGGAACCTTTTCTTCCTATTACCTAGCTCACAGACCTGAGTGTGGAGGGTTTGTGACCCAATCTGTGCAACAGACTCGAGGGGTCTGCAAGCCCTAGCTTTACATGTGATATTAAATGAAAGAAGTCGTCTAAATTCCTTAGCATATTGCCTAGCATATGGTATACACTGAATAGTGATAACTATTATTGTGATAGAGTTCACAAGACTAACTGAAATAATACACGTAAAAAAAAGCAGCCCTGTTAATTACTAAGGGTTCAGTAATTGTTCTCTTCCCTTTCTCATTCCCCTTTCAGAACTTTAATTTACTAGAGTTAAAACGATCTTAAAAGCAAAAAAAAACTAATGCCTATTCCTAATCACTAAGCTTCAGGCCTTAAGGTGTTGCTGATTTCCTGATCTTTTCATTTTGTAATCAGTAAAATCTAAGTGACATAAAAATAGGGTTCCCTTTCCAGGCACACACAGCAACTGCCATATTCCTGACCTATATGACATTATCACCAGTTTAAAACAAAAACCTGTGAAATGCTAACAGGTTATTTAGATAATAGGAGTGTTGGTTATTTTTTGGTTTATATATGTACTTCCTGGGATGGGAATTATATAAAATGATAATCTGCTCTTCTTTTTTGTATTTTTCATTAAAATAGTTATTTTTCTAAAATTGCCCAAAACTACCAGTTAGTTGAGTCTCTCTTTTTTCTTAACTTAAAGATGAAATGTATTTAAATTAGTTGCTAATCAAAGAAAAGCAGATACATAGTTAACAAGAAATCATTTAATACTGTTAGACAGATAGTAAAAAAACAGCAAACTTTTCCCTTTTCTGAGTCTCTAACTCTTTAAATGCTCAAAAAAGAGTCTTCAAATTGAGCTTGAGGGCTCTTTCAGAATTCTGGCCAGAAAAAAAGAGAAGCTTCCACAAGGATGAAGAGAACTTTGAGCAACAGGAATAAGCAATAACCCATTGTTTATATGCCACGTCCACTATCTGCCCTCTCCCTAATCTCTCTCCCTAATCTCTCTCACCTCGCTTTTCTGCCTACCCTGTTTCCCAGGGCTAGCCCCGGCTTATATCTTTCCTCAGACTCCAGCAATACGTACTCCCTAAATTTAAAGTCTGGTAATGGCTGGGTTGGGAAAACAGCCAATAACAAGTTGGGTATGAAGGAATTCCATCAACAGAAATTTTTCTTGGAGTCCAAGAATTAAATCTACATTACAATCTTGTGATAGGATGGAAAAATAGCCTCAATTAGTTATTATTATTATTACTTTTTTTTTTTTTGGAAGGGTATGGTTAAAATTGGGAAGTTGCCAAATTTTACTTTCAAAATTTAATTTTCTTTATATTTTAATATATTTAACTATTTAAATAAAATTTAATTTAAAATTAATTTTAGGGCCAAGCCCGTGGCGCACTCGGGAGATTGTGCGGCGCTGGGAGCACAGCAGCGCTCCCGCCGCAGGTTCGGATCCTATATAGGGATGGCCAGTGCACTCACTGGCTGAGTGCGGTGCGGCCGGTCTCAAAAAGGACAAAAAAAAAAATTAAATTAAATTAAATTAAATTAATTTTAATGTTGTGGTGGCTGATATGTAGAGAAATAAGTACTTAAAATCTAAAATCAGTTTGCTGTAACAAATCTAAATATCTAACACAGAGAGACTAAAATGATAATACAGCTCTGAAGCTGTAGCAAGACTTCTCTTAGAAAATTAATGGTGATCAACTTCAGATTCTATTTATCTAAGCAAAGATAAACTGGTTTTTACACATCCTTTTCCTTTCTCCCCATCAACTCCATCCCTTGCTTCTTTATCTCCTTTCTCTTTTAAAATTTCCAGTGAATGAAAGCTCTACTCAACAGATTGTTTTCTTTTAATAGCTAAGGTGTCTTCGTTTCTAAGCCAGGAACTGAATTCCAAACAATTAATGTAATCTTCATTACATAAAAATAACTGTGTGTGTGTGTGTGTGCGTGCAAGGAGAACATTTTTTATAAGCCAGCTATTCCTGCCAACTATGCAACTGAGATGCACTCGTTTCCAGGTATAGCCACTTTCTCGGCAAAAAACACCCAATCTCCATTTAGGCTTGAATTGCTCAGAACAGCAACTCCTCCCCCAACTCCCACCTGGTATTCCTTAGACATAAATTAAGTTGGTCCTCAAAGAATACAAATGTGGTACATTATTTTTTTTACAAACATTTGTAAAAATGTTTGTAAATCTGGGCATTGTGGCAGAAAAAAAAGAAGAAAAATGAATGAAGTTAAAGAAGTCTAGCACATTTTTGCTTTAATTTTTTAAGATCCATGCTTTTCTTAGATTTCTTTAAACAGGATTTAACCTATTTTGCACGTGCTACATCTCTATATCTCTACTCTGTAGGCCCTCAATATGCTACTGTTGTTCAATATGTGTTAATTATAGTACTTACAATT